GCATTGGCCATCTTCGACAACCGCCTGCTTTACAACCAATATACGATAATTTTGACCTCATCTCATATATATATATATATATATCATCTTTATACATATTATATATATATATAAATAAATATCAACCTCATCTACATTTGCAGGCTTCGAGAATTTAAGACATCACGTCCTGTGAGATTCCAGCATTTAGTTTCAGTTATTCCCCAAACAGCTTTAGCTGAGGGGTTCTTGATTTGCTTAATAGAAAAGGATTCTCTAACGCTCATTTGGATTTCTCACGGCACTACTCTAAAAAAACGCTACTCATTTGTCTCCCACTTGTCTCCCATTTGTCTCCCACTTGTCTTGCTGTTTGGGGTCGAGGCTGGTATAATTAGAAGACGAATTACGACTTACAGTACATCCGGCTGTAAATTCGAGCACCGCGTCACGCAAAACCGCCGAGGCTCGTGATAGTTTTGGCGCTGCAACAGACTAGATGTCTCATCAGCCTAGCCCAAACACAACAGAACCGGGATGCACATCGCGAAGCAATGTTAAACCGGCCCTGGACGAACGAACGCCCAAATAAACACAAGCAGCCGAAACCTCACAAGTGAACATCTCGGTACCTTGCATCCCAAGCTCAAAAGCCTCGGAAGCGTATTGACATGCGGCCCTCTGTCCTGCTGCTGCCGGGCTGCAAGCAAGGCCTGAGGCGGGGGGGTTTTGCCAAAAGCGACTCGAAGAGAAGTAATGTCGGGGCCTTGATAGTTAGAACAAGGTTTTGGTCTCTTTGTTAGTATAACTTTAATGAGGAGCACTAAGGAATAATATTGGTAATTATTCCGGCCCCGATATTACGGACAGCACTCCGTGTGACACTCAGCCACGTCACCGTCCGCATGATGCTTGATCGGTTCTGGCTGCGTCCAAAGCCAGATACCTACATGTATTTGGGGCTGATGTTTTTTTTTTTTACCATCCGCCCAGCTGACAAAGTCGCACCGCAGGGATAACGTCGGAATCTCCAAGAATCCGGGGTGGAAACTAAGGACAAGCATGAGCCCGAATTAGACAAGACCAACAACAAGTACAACTACGTACTCAATCAGGCTCATACCTTCGTCGGTTGCCAAGTCCTAGCCGGCGTCTGCGACGGGAGGAGCTGCTATCCCCAACGGAACCAGTAAGATCACCGGGGGACCTCCAGGTGACAATCACCGGTTGGCTTATGTACAGAATTCGCACCATAGGTTTGATAAACACTGAACCGAGACACTATGAACCGAGACACTATACCAAAAGTTGAGTGGTTTAGTGTACTTTAATGGATTTACAGCTTGAGGTATCAGGATATAGGGGTTTGGTTCTTTCAGACTTGGGGGTCAAGAAGAAATACCAAACACCCAACGATCGCACGATGACAGACCTCATCATGACAAAACAGCAGGATGTAGATTCAGGCAAGATTTCGCGCATGCGCTTGGGGCAACATCATCTTCAGCATGCAGGCTATGGCATTACTGTAGGGCATTATAAATACATAGTAATAATCATATTAATATTAATGAGAATATTCAGAATGATTGGAACCAGAAAGTAAAATACAAGGCTTTAGGATTGACGTGCACGCGAATTCATCACAAAGCCAGAAGCTTGCACGCAGGGCCTCCCTGTGCTGCGCCTCTGCCTGCATTGGGGTCTTCCTCAAATTACCTATAGTCTCCATTGTAGTCCCTTTATTTGGTTTAACCAATTATATATTAAGGATTCTATAAGGTATCCCCAAAAAGGAACTACAATGGAGACTACAGGTATTATCAGGGTTCTTTACTTAGGATTCCGTACGGCGGAGGGATCAAAAACTCAAACAAGGATCAACTACAAATCAAACGTCTGGGATCAAAAAACAACATAGGGATCAAGACAAATCAAAATATCATAATGTCCCCTGGAGGGTATACTGGCAGGGCGGGGGAAGGGGGTAATAGGGGGAGGTGAAAACAAATTGTAATGCACACCTTAACTCGATTAAAACTATCATGCAATATGCTGATGCAGGTACTATATCGGCCACCAGGTTATCTTTGTATTTTTGTTGTTGTAGTATGAGCTTGTCCGCACTATGACTGTAAGCCCTAACCCTAAATTAACCCTAAACCCTAAACCCGTAAACTTCCATTACCGCTGCTGTTTCAACCCTAAACCCTAAACCCTAAACCCGAACCCTAACCCTAAAACCCTAAACCCTAAACCCTAAACTTCATCTCGCAAGCACTCCCCCGAGCAAGGACCTGGAGCTCCTCGGTCAGGCTGGACTGCCTTGGTTTAGGGTTTAGGGTTTTTTTCCCTCTCGCATGCATGAGGTCTATACTCACAGGGTTTAGGGTTTAGGGTTTAGGGTTTAGGGTTTACACTCTCACAACTCGGACAAGCCAGGCGAGGATCCATGTTTAGGGTTTAGGGTTGAGGATTATAAGGTTTAGGGTCTAGGATTTGTTTTTTGCACGACGCTTTTCCGTCTGCCGACAGAGTAGAATATAGGGTTTAGGGTTTCCCACTCGCGTAGCAGCCATCAATGCCCACAAGAGGACGGGTTTACGGTTTTGTTTTGGAGGGGGGGCGCTTGCGGGTTGCCTTCCTTATTCAGGGACGCGGGAAGCCATTGAGCGAAGGATCCTACAACTTAGGGTCTATATTGGGGGTACTATTTTAGGGGCCCTGAGAAGAGGGCTTCTGGTATTTCTGGATTTAAGGTTCTGCATTCGGGTACCCTAATATATGACACTCCCTTACGAGCCCGCGCACGAGCGAAGGGGTTGGTCTTTAGCTGAAGAGCAGCTTTGAGCTCTGGGGGATACCTTGAAAGGCTCCTTAAGGGTTTTGAGAAGGGTTCTATAATCATATATTTATAAATGTCGAAACTATGTTGTGCGGTTCGTGCGGTTCTTGCTGTCAGGACTGGTCAGAGGGTCTTCTTCTTCTAGACGGTAACATCGGCTCCGGAAACCTCTTGCAGATACGTGCGTTTGGCCCATTCAACTCCATCGCTTCTGCTTCAGGGTTTGGGAGGTGGCTTTTGGGCTTCGTGGGGCTTTACTTGGTGTGTTTCGCTTGGGTTGAAATTGCCATCTCGGGAGCTTCAGCTCAGGACCAATGGCCGACAAAGAGAACTGGCCTACTTGAGCAGGAGGCAGGCGATTTGCGCAAAGAATCCAACAAAATAGAAGATCACCGATTGAAGAGACAAGAGCATTGGGGTTCTAGACAGACGAGTATGCACAAATCCAGAGCTAATGATCTGAGATAGTGGCCCGATGCTGAGTCCCGGATTGGGGTCGCGAACAGGGGAGAAAGCTCCTCCTGGCCTGCGCACAGAGCACCGATGTTTCAGGAATTCAGCGCTCAGAACTGGGACCGGGCTTAGGGTCTAGGTGTCAGGCAGCCTGGATTCAAGCCCTAGACCAGCAAGTCCACAGCAAAGAGCTTACGGTGCCATGGCTTCCCCTTGCCTCGGGGGGCACTTTCTTTGTGCCGGGCAAACAGGAAGGAGAAGTAACATAAACTTGACCACAGACATTGCTCGTATAGCATTCTTTGGTATCTAACTTGCAGTCTTCAGGCAGCTGGAACAACACTACTCGTGGCACCACCACTGGCACAAGAAGCAAAGTACGCGTAGTACAGATTTAGGGCTGGGGTTGAGTTTCCCGCGAAGGCATCATCCTGCTTCTATGACCTCACCTTCATAGGTCACAGTCCCCGCAGCAGAAATACATGGAGAGAAATAATGACAACGTCTCTCTCCACGACGTGTGTTTAATGCTGGAGCTGATACGACCATACTCCAAGCCCCGTATTCAAGGCCCTTTTGCATAAACCTTGACCAGTAGTTACTCCAACGACCAGGCCAAGCCCCATGTTAAACATGTTAAACGATACCCAAACCCCCCAGGTACCTACTGTATAGGGTACTGGAGCCCCCCCCCCTATGTAGTAGGTACCTGGCGGGTTAGGGATAAAGAAACACAGGAAAATGCCAACATAAACTTAGAGACCCAGGCATCAAGGTCTTGTGTTAAAACAGTTGACCGTATACATCCCTTGTATCTACACCTAGGCACCTTTACATATGCATGTATGTAGACTGTACATATAGGTAGTCCGTGTAGACCCAAAGTATAGAAAGAGCTCCCCAGAGACTCCAAAACCCCTTAAGTAAGGAATATACCTTAAATTATAATAGGATCCCTAATAAGATTTAGGGTATATTCCTTAATTAAGGGGTATTGGAGTCTCTGGGAGACATGAGTCCAAGCTCCTCCAAAGTCTTGGATCGTTCAGTGGATTCGGCTGCGATGGTCGCACACGCACAGGACTGCACCAAGGGGGTGCCTACCGGCGCCTCCCATCTCATAAATCTACAAGGCATCCCTAAACCCTCTAAGGACTCTAGGGTTTGGAGTTTAAGGTGTGAACCCTGAAGCCCCTAAACTGTGAACTGAAGTGTCCCACAGGGCCTACACAGTGCAGGGGCACTGCATCCGGGCAAAGTGCAACTACATGGGGGTTTCCGAAAATAGGGGACCCTAATATAGTACCCTAAATAATAGGATCCTTATTATAAAGGCCCCAAAATAGGGTACCCCTAATTTTCGGAAACTCCCACATAGATGACTGAACTGCTGGCCTGTGGGGGCTCTCCAGGCGATGCGCTGCCTCCATGTATCGGGCATGAGGGTGTGGGGGTTTAGGGGTTTAGGGTTTAGGGGTTTAGGCTGAGAAATCTTCAGGGTTTTACGGTTTTAGTTTTTTAGTTTCTTGGGATTTGTCGGACTGTTGCTGTGGCATATGCAGTTACGGGCACCTAAGCGACCCTCATGTAGAACCCCATAACTCGCAGCATCTTTCATGTATGTACCCCTGGACAGGGGTTCCGAGCGATTCGAAACCCCACAAGGAGCTGCCAGGGTTTTACCTGGATTTTCTGGGTCTTCGAGATCGATGGGCTATGAGTTTTCGATCCTAGACGGGGGCTGAGCGGCTGGAGCCGCGTCACGCTGGTTCGGCGTAACGGAGTCTACCTCGAGAGTTTCGGGACGGCTTGACATGATTATGGCAGCCGCTCCGTTGATTGAAAAAATTCCTAAACTCCTAAGCAGACAGAGTATGTAAAGACGAAGTGGCCACACGTGCCAAGTCGCATCTTGTGCAGAAAGCAAGGTCGGTCGCAGCTTGTGCAGAAGGCAAGGACTTGCCAGCATGACTCTACGCTTTCACGAAGCTGATCCACAATTTCTTGTTACATGATGGCCGCCTGGCGGGACATCCCGTTGCAAAGGCACAAACGATGACAACAACTGTTGAAGTCATGCAGACACATGAGATTCTAGGGTTTAGGGCCACACGCTGAAAATGCTATCCGGCTCGAGGGCTCGCTCCCTTAGCATCTCCGTTAGCTAATCAGGCATGGGACATGTTGACTCTCCGGGCAACAGCAGGTATTGATGTAGGCGCCTTAAGAACTATAGAAGGGTTTCGCGGTATATTCGACTCTATGATCCAATTAAGCTCTACCTATGGAAGGAGCTATAAGGCATAATTCTAACCGCGTAGGCTTCCATATAACTCGATAATACAAGACCGGCACAACGACACAAAAGCTGGGCTCCTGAACCCCAGGTTGGGAGCAACCCCGAACCCTTGTGACCGCTGTTGAAGGATCATGGCATTCTTCAAACTTTTATCTTCTACTACATCGGAACTTTGTACTACATTCTGCGCAATTCTCTATTATTGGACGAGACAGTCGAAGGATTTCTGATTAGATGACCCTCCGTTGAAGAAAACGCGCTCCAGAGCTCTAGCCTCGGCAGTGTAGCCGCCGTAAGCCTTCGATAGCGCTTTGGGATTAGGGATTGACTCGCACACTCACTCAAGACAGGCACGGAGTCGGGTTTAGGGCCTTGGGTTAAGAGTAGCCTAGACTTTTGGGGATGGATTGTGTGATGTGTGGATCTCTGGACGATAGCTTTGAGAAGGACTGGCAGGAGGCAACGGAGGAGGCGAATGACAACAGAACGGCGGACGATTCTTTATCCTTGCCGGTGCTGCTGGAAGACCACACCCAAACTCACCCAAAATCTCCATGACTTCAACGGGCTTAGAAACAACCTTTTTTGGAACCTGGATGTCTCGGATGTGCCAGGACGGTCCTATGAACCCTAAACCCTAAAGCGCCCCAACAAATCCAAGCCGTGAAACTCCCCAAGCCTATACCCTACACCCTAAACCCAATCCTAAGCCTCAAAAGCTTTGCGGGGCAGCGAATCGAGGCCTGAGGTTGTGCAGGATATGCATCTCGCGATCCGTAGGCCTCGGGATGGTTCCCAACTTAGGGGTAGCTTGATTGTTAGTAAAGGGTCTCTGTGGTGCTTGATCGGCCTTTATGCTTTTTTGGGGTATAGGGGCCGTGAAACTTAACTTGGAATGGGGGTTTGGGGTCATGATAACTATACTACGTTGAGGGGTCATTATTCAGCTCTCAGGCCGTCGAGGCCCCGAAAGCACAAACTCTGCAATCACCTCCTTGGTCGAATGTGCCTGCATTGTTGGTGGCTTCACTTCCTTGGGGCTCTTCGTAGGATGCCGTTGATCCCTGGGCTTTTTGAGCAAATATGTCAGCAGATCGGAAAGGGTCTGAGGCCCCGTTGGCCAGGCACTCCTTCAAGTGCATGGAAAGTGGGGGACAAACTCCGTCGGACTCTGGGAAGGACTCCTAGCCCTGCCTTCGCAACAACCTGTCGCAAACCACACACGAGGCATGAGTGCCCGGCTGGAGCTGCAGGAGAGCCTTGGTACAGGCTCTTTCTACGACCTACAGCACACTTCCCACAGGAGAGCCTGGTTCGAACTGTCCTTCTTCTGGCATGGCGCTGCGAGTGACGACTCCGCCGCCTGCAGCCGCCCCTGCCACGGCCACCGGCTCTAGCACCATACCACGGTAGACTGTTGATGTTAAATTTGCAAGTCTTACAAGTATGGCTAACTGTCGTTGTCGTTATGGCCACCTGTCGTGCTAATCTTTATGCTGTCAGGGAGGCAAGACCTATCCCAACATCACCACCATAGCAAAGAAACACAAGACATGTATGCACTGTTACGATGAATCATCAGCTGTCGAACATGTTATGCAGCACATTGTAGGTTTATGCTTAGTTGTGCCTGCATGCTTCTGCACTTCCTCTGCTCGAACGATTTATGCAGCCGCATAGTTTGGCATATGGTAGTAAAGTATGAAGATGATTAGTGATGGGTTTGCCTCTGTTGCACATTGTGCTCTAGCTTTCCGAGTTCTGCTTTCGTTGCTCATAAAAGGCACTCTCTTTTTGTTTGCACAGTGTTGCTTCTGCTGCTGCTGCTGCTTCTTTTTGTGGCGGTGGCGACGACGGTGGGGGTGGTGTGGGTGGGGGTGGTGGTGTGGGGGGGGGGGCGGGTGGGGGTTGGGGCTGGGGCTGCGGGTGGGCTGGGGGTGGTGCTGGCGGCTCCGGCGGCGGCGATGGCCTCAAAGCGAGTGATGGCGGGTGGTGGCGAGGGGTGGCAGAGGCGGTGGCGGTGCTTGTTCTGGTGCTGGTGGTTTTGGTTTTGGTAGTGAAGATGCTAGCACTTGTAATCTACGGGCTGGAAAAAATAGTGCAGGGTCTTTCGGGTATCTTATACTGATACTACATGAAGGAGCCCTATATAAGACTAGTCTTGTTAATTGCTCCGGGGCCGGGGTATATTATTATGGTATGGTTATATCGGGACTATAAGAGAATAACAGTTTTTGATGACTTGTAGGACTCCAGCCCCGAAGAGGTTTATCAGGCCCCAGCTCCGTGGACTGGGCACATCGTCCAAGGCCAGCTCTTCGATGATGGCATGCAACTGCGGCATGGAATGTTGGGGCCTTTTTAGATAGAATAGGGTTTTGAGGTATATTATACTATATCATACTATATAATTATAATAAGGAACCCCCAACTATTCAGGCCCCTGTACTAGGGTTTCGACTCACACACTCGCACAAGGCAGGCATGGGGGCGAAGGGCTTTCATGTGGGTTTTTTTTCCCACCCGCTTCGCTGACTAGGTCGCACTGTGGGGTTTAGGGTGTAGGGTGTAGGGTTTCGACTCTCGCTCTCGCACAAGGCAGGCAAGGCTCCACACAGAGGACGTAGGGTTTAGGGATGGTGGAGAGATGTTCTGTCGGGAGCCCAAACCCTAAACCCTACAACCCTAAAGCCTAAACCTACAAACGGCCATCTTCAAAGGACGGCAGCTGGAAAACTCCAGGCTCAGTGAGTGCTGAGTGCTGGACTCGGACAGAGGGTTCTTGTGCACTTTAATGCTGCAGTGCTTGAGGCATAAGCCGCCAGCATGCCTGCACCTCTGAAACCCCCTCAAACGGTCCTAGAGTATCTGCAACTCGGTGTTGGTCTATTCTGGCGATCCTGTGTTCTGTCGGTCGACGATACGTGGCAATGTGAGGCGGGAGGACAGGGCTTTTCACTGGCTTCCGGTCTCTGCGTGTTTTTCCATCGCAAGTTCGGTCAAGGAGTCAAGGCAGGCCCACGGAGCAGCTGGCCTTCGCTCAGCCGCACTGTGGGAAAATCCATATGTGACGATTGCCGTCGGGTAGAAGTCTTTAAAGGCTCTCAAACGGCCACGGCGGTGTTCTCCTGGACGAGTTGCAGGGCAGCCTCATACTTCGCCGGGACGCAGCCGTTCGCACACTCGAGGGCGTGGCGGCACTTGCTGTGGATCGCACACTCGGCCGCCTCCTCAGTGCAATGGAGCGCCACGCAGCTCTTGCTGGGTGGGAAGCCTGGGCATTTCACCCGCACGCACTCCATCAGAGTCGCGAAGTGCAAGCCATCTTCGGTCTTGGCGAGCGGCTCCGTGCAGTGCAGCTCACACATGAGACCGTTGCGGCAGTCCGATGAGAACAAGCACTTGGCCAAAGTCGAAGTGCAGTTGCTCAGGAGGCAAAGCGGGCTTGGGCTCAAGGCTCAAACTGGATCCGTCCAACGGACAGCTGCTGACACAGCTCAGGGTGTCATCCACGGTGCTGTTCAAAAGGGAGTTCGCCTTCTGCAGCACCGCCTTGCGCAGCATTGTTTGCGTTGGTTGGCGCAATCTGGGCCTGGGCCACCGCCAAGAGCGAGAAGGCCTTCAGCATCCACATGGTGAGCAGGTTCCGAGTAAAGGGCGATGCCGATTGCGAGTCCTTTCTAAGCCAAAGCAGCTTGGGTATGCAGCAAAAGTTCATGCACGGCGAGACATGTCCTCACAAGATTAAATCAACGTTGAACGTTCCCGCTGCATTGGACGTCTTTGCTGCTGAAATCCAATCGCAGGTCATGCCAGACCCCTTGAAGCAACGGCAATGATAAGGCAGATCTGCAAACACCGGAGTGTGCACGCATGAGAACTGTCGATTTGGAGCAGACGAAGACCTACTTGGGCAGGACTTTGAGGGCCCACCGGCGCACGGCAATCATCAGAACAAACATAATCAGCTGCACTCGCAGTTGCAACATTTTATATCTTGTACCCATGCCATTCTTAGAGACACCGGCAGAATGTGGAGACACATCGGATTGTTGCATGGGGACCTCCTGGGCGATCTCCTTCACGTCGCGCGCACGTAGCGCGAGGGAATGCTGAGGGAGCCGACGCCTTGGGCTCTTGCCGGGACTTCTGTGGTGAATGGCCTCCTAAAGTTAGGGATTTGGGTTTGGGATTTAATAGGGTAATAAAGCAGCATCTAGCATTCCGGGTTGAAGTCATGAATCGATGTCGAAAGTGCTGGGTGTAGCACACAACATTCAAAAGCCCGACCGAAACTCTTTCGTAACCCTGCAAGGATCGAGTCCCACCTGTCAATCTTGCAGCTGCGCCCTCTTTCAGGAAGCATCTGCCCCTGAACCTCCGAACTTGCAGCTCCTAAGCTCCTTTAAGGAAGTCATGATAGACTCTATAACATCTACAGTATATCTATCGACCATCTGTAGATGTTTACGATGTAATTAACGCCAGTACAAGTACTCAAGTATATAAAAATAGCTCTGTATACATATATATATATATATATGATGAGAAAATGCACGTTTTTTGAGGCTTCCACAAGTTGCCCGAGACGAAAGCCTTTTGACCTGCTTCAGGGCACCGGCAGAGAGCGCTGAAAAGACTCCGTCATTTCACGTCGAAAAACAAACGACGCTTAGCAGTTGATTCTTGGAAGAAACTGCGGATGGTCTGACTGACAATACACAAAACAATGAAACATCCTGAACCCGAAAAACAGACTGACCAAGCAGGGCACACACGAAGCCTGCCAGTGCAGCCCAGCCCAGCAAGAACAGGGCAGCTGCAGGCAAACGCCTGCTGGGCGAGTGTGACTGAAACCTCCAGAACACTTGGGAGTTTCCGAACATAAGGGGTGCCTTTTTTGGGGGTCCTTACAATAAGGATCCTATTATTTAGGGTACTATATTAGGGTCCCCTATTTTCGGAAACCCCCATTTTGCCTCACACCTGGCTAGGACGAACCTGGCTGTAGGGTCTTATATCAGGAGGATTTTCGCTAGTTATCTACCTGGGGGATTCCGAAAATAGGGGACCCTAATATAGCACCCTAAATAATAGGATCCTTATTATAAGGACCCCAAAATAAGGTACCCCTAATTTTCGGAAACTCCCACCTGGGTTTGGGGAGTCTAGTGCATCAAGACGACTATGCCGCATTATTAAGCATGCAGGGTTTTGCATGTCGGCTTTTGACCCTCAGGTGTTTACGTCTGTAGCAACAGTCGGAAGATAGGCTACAACCTTAAGAATTGCTGTGACAGCAAAGTAGCTGGAAAGATGCTCAAAGCTTCAGGTCTACCACAGAGGCCGGAGCAGTTAGAGGAACCCCCCCCCCAAAAAAAATAGTATAGGTAGCACGGTATGGGTCAACCCCAAGGGCCAATCTGGATAGGCTGTAGAGCGACCATAGAGAGTAGAACTAGGTATCGAAGGAAAGGATTTCTTGAAGTATTCAGTCTCCTAGTCCCCGGCCCTAGACGCCACAGATCTGCTTCCACCCCCGCTCCTGCCTCCGACCGAGCTGCAAGTTTGTAGCCATCGTCTTTGCAGAAAGCTTCTTAATTGAGCTCATGTTCTTCGGTATGGTATACTCGAGTATCAGACTGATGTAGTATTTTCGGGTAAATGTTCTTCTGTATTCTATAAACAAGAAGCCATCGGTGGGCTCCAAGCCTCCGCGCATCCTGAACTGTATTTGTTGATGTTGGCATCTGTGGCTGACGGGATGAGAGCCCCTTAGTTGGGCTTTCACCATGTGTTTTCCGAAGAGCTTTAGCCGGCACCATAATGTCACATATAGCATCGGCAACGCTTCGAGACTCGAGACCTGAAGTCTTAGAACGAAGCAGCGCTAGTACTCATACAGATCGACTGTCATCACCGCCATCGCGACAACGACGGAGACGCCGACGATTGTGATCACACTTTCCCAAATGCCAACCGCAACAGTTATATTGAATGAAGCAAGCAACAAATATAACAGTCACAAAACTAGGCCGTCATCAACGACAACGAATCACAAAAAAGTACTACTACAACGCCAGCGACGACAAGGACGCGAAACAACTGTCAGCGCCCGCAGCATCAGCATTACCACCGCCACCACCACTACCAGGACTACCACCACCACCACCACCACCACCACCACCACCACCACCACTCAACCACTCCCTTTTTAGTGGCGGCACGGTGGTCCATGGCATGATGCTGGTGGCGGCAGCGGTGGCGGCGGTAGCAGGAGGAGGCGGAGGAGCGGCAGGTTTGGCAACAGTCTGTGCTTTGCTGTCGAGTCAGAACTGTTCCCGCTGCGATGTCTGGTGGCTTCAATCCCAGCTGCACACGCATCGCGCCATCTATGGTCATTGGCCTGAGTGCTGCATGCAACTGTTGTCACTGGTAACAGGAAGCAGCTTTCGGGGAGCTTCTTGGAATATGTGATCACTTCAGAGAACTCACCGAAGCTCCGCACCGTTAACAAATCGGTGACCGCGAGCCCAGTGACACCGACAATCACCGGCTTGGGGCACGAGTCCAGAGTCAATGAAATCCCTGGGCCAAAGTCACTCGCTCTCCTTTTTCGACATGGTCGGTCGAACGTCCGACGCTTGTAACAACATTTAACCTGTCAACGGCTGACCAGGAGGGCGAAGCACCCCAACAACTCTTGAGTACCCTGGAAATGCACCTGCCAGACTCTCGAGCTCTTGCTTTTTTAAAGACCCAGTTGGGAGTTTCAGAATCTTAGGGTACCTTATTTGGGGGTCCTTATAATAGGGATCCTATTATCTAGGGTACTATATTAGGGTCACCTATTTTCGGAACTCCCCAGTTGAGTCATGTTGAGTCAGACCATGTCATACCCACTTTCAGCAGTTTGAAGTTGAAAGCCAACCCTTCTAGGTTACGTCGGGGATACAGGAGTGGTGAATAGGGTCATCATGCTCGCTTTGACGGTTCAGGGGTGTTAAGGGTCATGGTTATATTATTCCTTACTCAACCTCAGATTTTTGTGGTCCGAACGGACACCAACAGCCTCTTGTTTCCTCATCTTGAAGCTGCTCCATGCCAGGACGAAGGCCTATGTCTACTCGCGGTTCTAATCGTCAATGGTTGGCAGAGCAGCAAAAGCCAGAACTCTTGCTCATCCTTGAGGCCGAAAACCCAAACAATCATGAGACCCTGGAAGGCCATGAGTAGGCACCTAAATCCCATTTTTTCCATCACGGCTTGTACGATCGACTGAAAACCCCCCTAGGCCCTAAACCCTAAAAAGCCTCGGCTGCTGTTGGGGCACCTCGCCGACTTGACTAGTGTACATAGCCGCGAGGCAGACATTTGCGACCTCGTTTTTTGCCGTGCGCCCTGACGTCCGTATGGTCAGTTCTCTGAATTAGGGTTTAGTCCTTTGTTTAAGAGTGCCGTACTATATTGGAGACCCCTACAAGGAGAGAACTACCCATATCTGCAACGAGCCGCGGGGTCAATAATTCGAGGAATGCTGCAGTGATAAGGACATTCTGGTCCCGTGCCCTGCAGTCAGCCAAATCACCAGCTTCAGCTGCCTTAGACAAGGACGACAGGTGGAACATCTGGTCTGTTTGTTTGGAGGGTTCCAATTGACAACTTGAGGTTCTGCAGATGCCGGGATCTTGGGCGTCTTATTCGGATGGCTGCAAACCTCCTACAAAGGAGCAAGGGGCCGTGCAGTTTCAAGAGCCTCACAGAGTGCCAAAGAGGATATCAGAAGATGTGACAAAGCCCAACTTCGAAGCCAGCACGGGAGAGAAAGGGGGAGATCGCGTGCCTTCTGTCTGTGCAAAACTCGGGGCACGACGTGTGCCTGATCTGACGATGACTCGCTCCTGACTTGATCTGTTGGGAGCTTTTGTTCCTATCTTTCCACATCTAGTCAATCTAGTCGGAGGGGAAGGGAGGTCGGGACGACGGAACGGAGGGATATCATTTCAGGCTCTGTCACCACCGTGGGGGGCAGCATTGGAACCAGGACAAGAAGGGAGAGCAATCTGTGCGGCAACTTTTGGCGCGGGCCAGTTGTGGTATTCGACAAGCTCCTGCAGAAGATGTGGCTGGCTTTCAACAGGGTCATTGTAGAATTGTAGAATTGAATTTCCAGCTCCGCAACCAAACATTCCGAGAAGCCCTGCTTGGCTCGGGGTCTAATCTTGCGGCAAAGCGTCCATGGTTCCAGCAGGAGCCGGGGTGAATTGACGAGAAGCCCTGAAGCTCAGAACTTGACATTTGAGCGGAGCATGCCGTGCATGGAACTCTCTCACGCACTTGACTGTAGGATGAGCCGGCTCCTGCGGAAAGCGGTCAGCTACCCGCCAGGAGGTGCCCTAACCATGCGCTGCCATAATCATGCCCTCTTCCGCTGCGGGGCTCGAACGCTGGTTCAGCGCTGTTCACTGCAGCCTCCACATGCGCGCTGGACAGCTTTCAGCAGGCTTCGCACTGGCAGACTCAGATCGAAAGCCCAGACCGTAGTGCAAGTGTCAGAAAAAATCTGTCTCCGACATGACATTTCTTACAGCCCACTATCTCTCTCTCACACGAACTCAGACTTCTTACAGCCCTAAATCTGCTAAATATTGTATATCAAATTATATACTGTATCTTATCAGTTGATATCATACTCTTGTGACACCTCAAGAAGACATCGCAGGAGCCCATGACCTGCTTCCGAGCGTTTCAAAGACAAAGCATGCTGTACTGTGAACTTCCTGGGGTCACCGACCGGCTTCCGTGGCGTCACGGACCTCGACATGCAAATAGATGAACTTATCTGTGCAACATGAGCGCGCGCATGACAGTTTGCATGCGATGCAACTACCGCATAGGCTGCACGACCTTGCCTACATCACACGACCAGCGAACCAACTAAGCACGACCCAATGAACCCCCCCTTAATCCTAAATCTTTGATTGCGCTGCGCTGTCGTCTTGATTGATACGCCGTCAAGGCAGCCCATAAATTCTCGAGCCAAGCACAACTGTCGACATGCATGTAGTCCTATGGCCTTAAGCATCAGAGTAGGGTCTTGGGGTATGTATCAGTTATTTTTTAATGTTCTTCATTGACTATGAAGGGTTTTTACTCAGCATTCAAACCCTTTTATTAGCAGCAGATCAAGCAGGAGTCAGAAACTGCGAGCCGCCGACCTCGCAGGAGCCACTGTGGCCTCCTCCGGTGCAAGGCCAGCTGTTTCTGGAACTTTAGCGCTTCAGGGTTCAGGGTTCAGGGTACAGGTCATGTTGGCCACCCGCCTACTTATATGGTCAATGATGGTGGCGTGCGATCCATCGTCGCTTGGGCGGTTTCTAGCTGGCACGGAAATTCGACCGCGCAAGACCGCCTCGAACATATCATCTTTTCAGAGCCAGTGTACCACAGGAGGTTCGTGTCGGGATGGGATCATTATAGGAGTTTGACAACAAAGCAGTTACGTAGACTTGCCTGCACGGCCTCAGAGGAATGTGAACGCTCGGATCTAGTCAAGTCTGGGTGGGACTCCGTTTTGAGATGCGTAGACGTTCTGGCAGCTTCCACAACAAAAGATAAAAGTCTCACGTTCATTCTCTTGGCTCTCACATCGCAGCTTGGAACTCACGAAAGTCTGCGCAGCAATCGAACCCAGGGTCTCGCAACCGACCCTTTCCGAAGTTTACATAACCGAGGCGATCGTGCTGTCTCACAATCCCTGGGGCTCCAAATAGCCCCAAGTAGGTACTATATATAGACTTTAAACCCCAAAGCAGGTGCTATTTGTATACTTGGAGCCCTGGGGAATGCTCAAGTCTTCCCGATTCGTTAGTTGTGGTGGTGGCTGACTTGAAGCTGAGCATCGTGCCATGACCAAGGTGACAGGAGGAACAAGACAAAGCAAGCATTCTTCTGCTGATGGTGAAGCATAACAATAATGTGGCGAAAGACTGGAACCTTTAAATAATCCCTGATCTTGAGACGGACGTGCCTTCATTCCAAAGATGGGCGCCGCAATGCGTATGGCTGCTGGCACCTCAACAAAGGCTGGGGCCACGACTTTGGGCTTTGGGATTCCATCGATTAGGGTTCGGGGCTTAAGGACTTGTTGGGGCCACCTTCCGAAACCTTAAAGCCGTAGGCCCTATAGACTCTACCCATAGGCCCCATAGTAGTTCCTTTTTGTGGCGCATAAATAGGATCTTATTGGGTAATCCCAAAATAAAACCCAAAAAGGAACTACCAGGGGGCCTTATGGGTAGACCCCGGATCGAAACTTCATAGCTCTTGCAGTCGTGCTATGGAGCCATCCGGCCCCGGAAGGAGGCCTGGCTTCTGCAAAGCTTGACGCAGTCAGTGGTAGGCCTTCACAGTACTTTTAGTGTACTTTTACAACATTTAATTTAAAGACCTACGATACATGACAATACAAAACCTTCGTTCGAGCTCGCAAAGATGCAAACGACGCATCCCTGGACATTAATTTATCTAACCCCCAAAAATCACTGAAGCACCTCGCGCCGCAGCTGTTGCTGCCTGGGAGTAGGCCTCAAGTCAAAGGATGGCGGGCTTCTTCTCGAACAAACATCGGGGAAGGAGCGGATGGTGCTACTTGGTGGGAACGTGGTTTCGCCCGGGCCGCATTGTGCCTGACATGAGTTGGTGCTTCGGGGGCTCACAGGCTTCACGGTGAGAGCTTCTTCGATGTGGGTGGTTCCTGGCTTTTGCAACCACATACGACACGACGCTGCATGAAAAGACATTAAAAAGCCTCCGCTGGGGCACCCTTTCATTCCAGCAAATTCTCTCGCAACCGATGTCTTTGGAGTCATCAGATGTTCATCTCAACCTGAGCCCACTGCACGCGGGTCACAAGAGTGGGTGTCCCTGGAGTACCTTCCAAAAGACGGACGGCCCATCGTTCACCAACATCAACACAACAAACACTGCCGCACTCATGCTCGCTTCCCTACTTGCGACCAGATGTCTGCGATGTTAGGCTCAATCCATGCCGAGGCTTCTGTCTGCCAGGACTGTGAGAGATGAGGTTGAGATGCAGGGCTTCGGAAAGTCGGGCAGCATACCGAAACCTCCACAGATCTGGCAATTTCGGGGTTCGGGCTGTAGGCTCTGAAAAATAGGAAGGACTGCACACCCGAAACCTTAAAACCAGCACTTCTTTGGCGGAAGGAATCCCAGTAAGGCCGTGCTCAACGAACTCAACTCAAAAACCTCCTCCAAAAAACCTGAAGTATAGAGATGAAGCCTATACCCCAGGTAGTTGCAATCTCGAGAGCTCTGAGTGCTGGACAGTCATCCCAATCCCCGACCACGTGAACGAAATGGGTGGCAACAAACTTGTTCAAACATCTACTAGCTATGTATGTATATGTATGTATAACGATGTATGTATATATATATATATATATACATACACACACACACACGCTACGTATGTGTTTGAGTTTCTTTTCTATGATCTACTTTGTGTATAAAATATAGCTGTTACATTGTGCTGTTTTATGATTGTTCTGACGGATGATATAGCCAATATAGCCTATCATGCAAAGTCGACCAGACTCGGCATGAGCTGAATAGACTCCTGACCCAGCCTGCACACACTGCAGGCCGCATCTGGACGACGGAGGCCTTGGTTGCAGTTGTAGGCAGGGTCCCTAACCCCCCAGGTACCTACTATATAGGGTACTAGAGCCCCTGGGGCCCTATATAGTAGGTACCTGGGAGGTCAGGGGGTTGTGGGGCGACGGTTAATAGCTCGTTTTCGTCGAGGCCGAACCTGGATGGTCAATGACAAATCGTGATTTCGCCATATCACTTTCGCAAAAAAAGTGAATATGAAGATCAACAGCGATGGCCAAAGGGTACTAAACGGGTCAGACGTACTATTCAAACACATAGCAGTAGTGGGCACTCCTCTGATAAGAAGTAAGTACCCATGCCTTCCACACCTTCAACTACAAAAGCCGCAATTATCCCAGCTCGAAATCTCCACAATTTGCTCAAGCCACCTCAAGGCCCCGGCAGCATAGCGTGCTGGAGGGGGTGAAGGGGCTGATGTGGCCATCACCGGATAGCCTGCCTCAAGGCTGCGAGAAAGTATGGAGCCTTGTGACGGCATGGCATAGAAGCTGATTTACAGTCGCAAGACAACAGTCTAAACTACGGAGACGGGCTTTCGGAATTCGACAGGTGAGACTCTCGATAGACTTTGGGACGAGTCTCCTCATTGTTGCTGGCATGGCAGCCTGCTTCTTCCAGTTTAGGTGTCCTGAACCCTCCAAGCAACTCCATCCAGAACCCAGCTGAGCTGTCGTGAAAAAACCAGCTCGGGCACTTAGTCAGTTTAGGCTGTGGTCTGTGGGTCAATTTCCTCATGTAAGAGTACTACAGGGGAGTCTGGCAGAATCGTGGATATCATCCGTGCCGGGAAGCTACCTTTGATCTTGTTGTTTGATTTCCTGTTTGTCCAACATTGCACTAAGCGCCGGGCACGCTGAGGCAGTGGGGACTCTGTCCGCGGCTGGCCAGAAGCCTACCGCGTCCAACATTGCACTAAGCGCCGGGCACGCTGAGGCAGTGGGGACTCTGCACGATGCAAAGCTTGCATTTTAGCAGTCGAGGAAACGAATTCGGTGTAAGTACTGCAGGGCTCGCGTGTCACTGCAGCACTGTTTGGGCGCGGCCTGGATAGGTGTCGGGGACATAGCTCTGGGCATGTAGGCCTGGACAGATTCAAACTGGATTTCAGGCACCCAGTGCCCTGCCGTCAGGCGGCTCCAGCGCAAGCAAGCAAGCAGCAGGACACAAAATACTAAACCCATGCCCGCTCGGGGCAAGAGAGCGCAGTCTCCCAAGGCAAGACATTCTGCTGTCGATTGCCTAGTTCTTCCATTCCAGAAGGATACGCTTCCAGGCTCCACTCAAGATCCGTACATCTGCCAGTGTACGTACATACACTTGTACGTAGCTATGTTCGTGATCTGCAGGCACCATCACCTACATGTTCAAGTTTTGTATCCGATAGTATACAGGTCTCTGACGAGAGTCTGTCTTCGTGATAAACATCTATAGCTCTATATATAGGAGCACTGCACCACACATGGATTACATACTGCTCAAGTTGCATTGCACGCTTGTACGATCACAGATCAAGTTTGCATGTGTGCATTCGACAACCCTATGCATGCATACAAGTCGGTCGCATGATCGCAACAGGACACATGAGCTTGGCTGAGCAACAACGTTTTTGCATCGAATTCCGAATTTAATCCCGTGGGTATACGCTGCTATACGAAGGGTGTGCTTATCTACTTATTCTTCTATACGTGCATGCTCATATGTGTCTGTACACTTCCTGTGGCAAGCAACAAACACACATCCACACAACTGCTGGGGCCATGGCCATGGCCACTGGAGCCCCGGGCACAGCAGCCTGTGGCGATTTATTCGGTTGTGCCGAATGTCAAGCAGGCTGGTCATGTTCTGAGCCCAAGCTCGATCACTCTCGCAGGTGCCTTTGATCTTCCATGTCTGCATGTGGGGGTTCCCAAAAATAGGGGACCCTAATATAGTACCCCAAATAGCAGGATCCCTATTATAAGGACCCCAAAATAAGGTACCCCCCCCCCGCTATTTTCGGAAACCCCCACGTAAGTGTCAAGCTGTGTGTCTGCCGCTATGAAAAAGCGACCCTGGAGCGATCAGCCGACTTGCCTAACTATGTACCCCTCTGCCTAAAAACATCTAAAAACGTATCGGATGCATTCATCATACATCTATCTAAAACATCTGAAGCAAGTATCAACCAGCCGCATGTATCCACTGAATCAGCCGCATACAACGCAACTAGAACTCACGATTTCATAGGTTGTAAAGACAGATACAAAGAACAAGAGATGCGAGGCTTGTCGGAGAAGCAAGGAGCGAGGGAGAACAAACAAAGACATAAAGAGAAGCAACAAACAGCAGGAGCGAGCAACACGAGCGAGAGCGAGAGATAGAAGAGAGGGAGCTAGACCACGATGAATGGAGCCTTGTCCCCAGCACTGAGATGCCGTTCAACATTTCACGAACTGCGTCGGGTCTTTTGAACGGAGGAAGGCTGGGAGGGTCTAAGAGTCTAGTCTCCCCGAAAAAGGAGAGGCACAGCCACCCCAAGCAACAAAGGGACATCGCCCGCCACATCATTCTGAGGCCTGATGCCTACACCCTCTTCCACGGCTGGGCTGCGGGGCCTCGATCCAGCCTAAACCCTTTTGTTGCACCAGGGCTTGTGCTATCACTAAACCCTAAACCCCTAAACCCTACATCCTTAAATCCTTATATCCCTATAAGCCCTTAAAGTCACGTAGGCAAAGCAGGCTCCAGGTTCTTAGCCCCAGGCCTTCGGCCAGGCAGCTCCTGGCCCAGGCCACGGGAGGGAAGGAACCAAGAACTTGAGTTCCTGCTCAAATTAAGTACTACTGTTTTAGATCTAACTATCTACTCAATTTAAGCTGTTATAGTCGTAAGAGTCATAACGAACTAGTCATGATTAGACCGTGATGGTTAGTGAGTTTACAGTGTTTGAATATAAGTTATAGCAAATAATTATTGTTAGTGTTGCTTGGAAGCATGGCTTCTGGGCGCAGAGCCGCAGGATGAGGGACTCAGGGGGCTGCGGGTTGGCAGCAGCTTCCGAGCTTCCTGTGATCAGCTCTGGAACGTAGGGCTGAGGGTTGTAGGAGTGAATCAATGAGTAATCAATGGCTCCTTATCGTATAATTCAGGCATCGCCTGCTCTTTTTTCCTAAACTCGGAGAATCCTGACGAGCTCAACTCATCGCCGAGCGTGCATCGCAAGGACTAACATGGCTAAAAGGGCCCATAATAAACAAGTAAAGTGCAAGCACCCTGGGCTCCACAAGGGCGTGCTGAGGCAAGGATGTGCATGGAAGTGCCTCGTGATTAGAAGAACAAGAGTATAGGCGATAAACCCTTAAGTACCAGAGAAACTCATTAGGAAAGGCCGGCCTAGCGCTCGCACGGCCACTGGTGAGGCCGTTCGAATCTCATGCCCGACTCCTGCACGACTTGTGAGCAGATCTCTGGAGCTTCTTTGGGCTGACAGCTTCGACTCTCACAGCTTGGCGAGCCGGATGAGGACTGATCGTACGATCATCGCCACTGGGGGTTGGGCTGCCCATGACATTCCGGAATGGCTGAAAGCTCTGTGAACTTCGGTGACTTGTTCTGCCCCGGTGCCACGACTCAATCGACGAACGCAATTTGGGGCTGTCGGGTTATTCGGAAGCGTGCGAGCTGGTGACAACTGGCCATAAAACTCTGACAAAGGTGTGCAATCACCGACTGTCCAGTGAGGTCCAAGCCTTGCTGCGGCGACTGTGATCTTGAAAGTACTGCGCGAGGGCCTTCCATGGGCAAAGCTTTGGTCAAATGTGCAGATTGAGTCCATCCAGCTGGCATCGAACTTGCGAGGTTGAACCCATTCGTCGGCGTTTCATGCCAGCTGGAGGCACCACTGCTTTACAAATGCACGAAGGCATGCATGCAAACGAAGAAGCCACAAACAACAGCCAAGCTCTTAGGAGGTCCTGACAACCACAGGGCTTTCACTGCAAGATCCGCGCACACCAAAACCGTAAAAGTCAAGCGTACACACAGCAGCAAAAGCATCACCGCCTAGTGGCAGTAGTAGCAGTAGTAGGTGGTAGTAGTAGTCGTCGTCTTCGTCGTCGTCGTCGTAGTAGTGGTAGTAGTAGTAATAATATAATAGTAAAAGTCGCAGTAGTCCCTCTCGCCATCAAAAATGGCCCTGGATCCGAACAGTCCTTGCCTGGCTGCACGGGCGCTCGTTCGAAGTTGGGGCGCCTGGCAGAAGTTGAACCGAGTTGGAGGCCTTCATAAATTTAGTAGGATGCTTCCTTTTTACATGGGTCTTGTACGGTTTTACGTCGGCTCTAGTACTGTAACGAAGAGTACAAAGGTTACTGTAAGCAAAGGGCACTGAACAAACACTAATAAGGGTTTGGAGATAGTCTGTGCGGCCGCTGAGGCTAAACAAAGAACGGTTAAATAACTCTAAGGAAGTTCCGGGGCCTCGTTGATGTAGGTGCCTGAGAGCTGCGCTGTGCATCGTACTGCTCGGCGGTGTCACAATCCCAGAGGGTCCATATACACTACCACTATGGAATTAGACCCCAAAAGACCATCCTAACAATGGTTTCAGGGGACCTAATTCCACTATTGTATTATATATGGACCCTCTTGGAATTAGCATCACCAACATGTCAAGGCATTCTCTCTACGGGTCCCGCAGAACCTTGCCTTCTTGGGAACGTTTCTTGGCCACTCAAAAATCTATATTATGTCCAAGAAACCTACATCGCCTGGTAGGAGCAAGCACAAAGCTTCAAGGCGCAGGGAAAAAAACAGCGCTTGGGCAAAATCCCTGCACCTGAAGGGTCCAAGCTTGAAGTTCCAAGTGCTTTCAAGTAGACCGGATTTCACAGCCCTCTCCGTGGTGAGTATGGGGAATAGCAGCCTGGTCAGCGACCGTGTGGGTCAGTTTCCGGTTGCATCGCCCGAGAAAGCCTTGCGGAACTGACTTCATACCTCTTTTCGACCGAGCCCACCGAGATTTCTCTAAACGAAGTCTGACATGCCCCTGGTGAAGCTCAAGGGTTAAATTCTCGCAACTCGGACACTTCAGGGGAGGATCGGGGCTGAGGGGTTCGAGGGTTTAGAAACCAGGACTCCCTCTTCTTTTGTGTCGGAGTCTATCGAACAGGGAGCAGAATGCGAAGATGCTTCTCAGATTCTCCTCGCATTGTCAAACCCAACTCACCTTCCATGGTTAGTTCTGACGGGCCTCAAGTTCGATTGCAGCTGCTGCATCTCGTGCTGCTGTTGCTGAACCTTAGCATTCGAGGGATGCAGTAGACCTCGCCACAGGGTTTGTACAGCTTGTAGCAGGGGCACAAGTTCCTGGTATCCTGCAGGGTCCAAGAAGCCTCAAGATCAAGTCTGACCCCTGACCACGAAAGTACGCACCTAACTTCACCTGGCAGCAGCCTATGCTTACTGACTTGCGGGCATCCTGCAGTTGGTTGGAACGGTTGAGGGTTGAGGGTTTTCACCAGTCTGACAGATTGGCATCGTCTACGGCATGTACTTCAAAATTTGTCATCTTCGAAGCATTTTATCGGAATCCTCTGCTGTTCAACCTGACAGCCCGTTAAGTCTGCAAGGCCGGAACAGATAGAGTCTAGACGCCCTCTTTCCTGTCTTCGATTCTGTTTTCCAGCATCCCCAGGTGCTGTTTGGTCCGTCGCCCCTGTGATCAGGTCATTAGTCGTAGGACCACGGAAATTTTCAGACCGCCACGACAAGAAGGGTTTAGGGTTTAGGGACAAGAAGCATAAGTGCCAAGCCCGTTGTGCTTTAGCAGGATAGGGCACGCAAGACGAGTGGTTTGATCAAGCAACGGAAGAAGCCAGTGATGCTAGTAGCTGTACACAACAGTCGAAGCTACCCAAAGCCCTACGGACCCTAACAGCGCTGGGGTCCTCATTTCTCGAAGCCCTATACAGGCCCTCACCGCACTTGAAACGGAGCCCTGCATCCTTTTTCCTCTGTGCCATTGCCTCGCCGGCTTGGATGGCCAAGTTACGCGGGCTGCACTCCTCACAAATGCAGAGTGTAGTGATCGTCGTCTGGCGGAGTGTCATGATTTCGAAATTACGCTTGTAAGCCATTTGGGCTTCGCGGTCGTGGTCGTGATCGCTTATGGGGTGCGCATCTCGAGAGCTGTGGATCACACTTGGAAAGTGGAAGAGCGGTAGCGTAGTCGTTGCCATCATCATTGCTGGAACTTGAGGTTGCTACTTGTTCGCCTTATAAATATGACGATGGGTCGCGATGCAGTTTCCGCGATAGAATAGTTGTGTCTGCCAATGTATTTTCTGTATGGTCACTTGCAGTTATCATCAGTAGTCTTCAGTAGTCTTCTTACCCTTAACACCCCTGACAATGACCGCCCGTGGAGCTACGTAGCAACCGCCGACGAAACAAGCCACACCCGACTGCAGCCTGGGAGAACATCAGCCCCAGCTCGGATTGGAGACCTGCTTCCTCCCAAGGCTTGGATGAAACGCATGAAACGTGACTGTGAGGGTTCAGCAGGACAGGCCTGTTCGATGCCATGATCTCTGCCTACTTTAGCTGTGACAGGCACTCTCTCTCAACATCGTGCCGTCGCGAGTGGGGGGGCGTTCCTGCAAGTAACGCTGGTCTTGCAGCACTGAATCTTTGTATGTATGTAGCTATGGCAGCAGTCACTAATGGTTCATTCACAACCAACCCCAATACAGCAGCTCGATATCGAATACCAAGAAATAATCTACACATCGAGTGAACCGTCGGATACCCAAGCTTAAAGCTAGGTGCAGTGCGAAGACCTGCTAAAGATCCACAGCTCTCGCAGTCCGCCTCCAATGCAGCAGCACGGTCTGCATTCACCGCAAACTCCGCCGCATTGCCCACGAGAGGCGTGACAAGTTCGAGCCTTAATTGGTCTCTATACACGGAGCAACTTACATAGTATAATGTTATACAGCTTGGAGGACATGAGCGTTTAAGGGGAGTTCAGATTGAGGACGCGTGAGCCGTAACTCTTAGTTGCGGTATCTGCTTTTCTTCTCCTCCCGCAATCTCTCACTCCATCTCTTGCTCACTTTTCGCTCTTTTGCTTTTCTTCTGCTGTGCTTGGGGGATGTTCGAGATCCCCCGGCCACTTGGCCCCCCCACCTGTTCTGGGGCTCTCTTTGAAAAGGTTCGTTTGCTCTCTCTGTTTCTCTCTTCCTGCATCCCAGCCCTGGGTCATGCAACGCCCAACGCCGACCGCTACGGGTTCACACTGCTTTTGGAAAAACGTATCTCAATGTTTGGGTCGGACGGGGCAATGGTGATGAAGCACTTCGAAGTGGAGGGCTGCAGTGTCCCCCTTAGCTCTGAATGTTCACGGGCGGGTCGAGCTTCAAGAGAAGTCCTTGTGTCAAGGCGTCCGCGATTGGCTGCCGTCTCTGTCAACATTTTGCGATGTCATTTCAAACTAAAGCCCACCGTGTACGCGTCTTATCGTCTGCATACAGGAGTCGTAGTGTCAGAAGTCGGCAGATGTGCACGTGCAGCTTCTGATTTTGGCAGCGGGTGCATGGCGAAGCATTGGCCGTATTCACCACGCCAAACACGGAAGCATGAATTCGGCTTCATGCTGCAGATTGCAAGAACATTGAAGCTGCTGAACCACGCTGTCTTGTACAGGGCAGCCTCGTCGTCATGATAATGGCACGCCGCCACTGCCAGGCAAGTGCTAAGTTGAATGGCGAAAGATACTTCCTCGATAACACCACCTTTAAGGTTATATATATATATATGGCTATACCTAGTTACGACTCCTACTATATTCCGCTCAGCCCTTTGCGCCCAGTTGCCTCCGGTACAGCGGCTCCCAGATGCGGCCAACCCGCTCAGCATCTGCCACCTGCATCAGCATCAAGCCACGGATCTCTGTAGACGGAAGTGCAAAAGCTTGGGTCTGCAGAGAGACGAGGGAGGCACTGTTTAATCGAGTGATTGGCCTATCGACAGCCTAGCCAGCTGACGTACGTGGTCGGGAGTGCAAGCTTATATATCTGTAGAATACCAGACGATTGGCAGCCTCGGGCTGATGTGGTAGGCAGGCAATATTATAAGGGGTGTGGGCATGTAAATCCGTAAGAACTGGACGGCGATTTTGTCGGCAGGTATATACAGAATCTAGAGTAAATGTGGGATAGGACGACAGTCCACGGTCCACGTGTGCTGCTCACTGGCATCGGCCTTGGTGCGTTTTTGCTTGACTTACACGCCTAAAGGACACGGGCATCAACAAACAGATTTCGAACGTGCGCTATGGTCTTCAGAAAACAAACGTACCACTGAAAGAATGCAAGCTATACGTTGGACTCTACATGTTCCAATAAACCATTGGCACATGCAAGGAGCATGCACGCACATCTTCTAGCTTACTTTGGGATGTGTCTGCACATGTGAGTGTCGGTGCGCCACGATCTATGCATATGCCTAAATGCGCCCTTTACTTGCTAGGGGATCCCCTAACATGAAGGCCCTGCAGGCCCTGGCAATTCCACAGAAGCCCCCGGAACGAAGAAGTGTTGCTGCGACTTGGCTCCTCGGCGTCCGTCGCTGGTGCCATGCCGCGCAGTTCCAGGACCTGGGCTTGACTCATCTGTGTGTGTGTGCGCTATATACATGTATAATATGCGTGTGTATATATATATATATATAGAGAGAGAGAGAGAGAGAGAGGGAGAGAGAGAGGGAGAGGGAGAGAGGGAGAGTGAGTGAGTGAGTGAGTGAGTGAGTGAGCGAGTGAGTGAGTGAGTGAGTGAGTAAGTGAGTGAGTGAGTGAGTGAGAGTGAGTGAGTGAGTGAGTGAGTGAGTGAGTGAGTGAGTGAGATAGACGTGTATATATGTTCATCTATACATACGGTACGTGCGCGAACATAAAAACAAAGACACATATAGAGATACACGTACAATTACATCACCGAGGGAAACACAAATGTGCTCACCCTGCCCGGTTTGAGTCTAATTATGTAAGGCATCTTACTGAACCCCAGAACCTTTTGCAACGGCCTTGTCAGATCTCGACCGGAAACCCCTAAACCCAAAACCCCAAACCCTGAACCCCCAAGCCCCTAAACCCTAAGCCATACGACCCTGCATCCAAAGGCTCGACTATGGGAGTTCTGCCACGCAAGGCATGCACTTTCATCCAGACCAAAGAAGCTATCCAAGATCGAAGAGAAGGCCCGAAGGTCCACACTGACCGGGTTTGGGGGAGTTAATGTAGGGGCCTTGATAATTAGAATCGGATTTGGGGCCTCCTTATCATAATTAGAATATAATATACCCCCAAACCCTGTTCTAATTATTAAGCCCCCTTTCTTTAATCTTGGATTTGACTGCTCGATTCTAGCAGGCCTCAAGTTGTATGAGGGCTCGAGTGCGGCATGGATGGCTTGGGACCTGCGCAAGTCAGTCTTTCTGTCCTTGACAAGGCTAGGTCCGGCTAGGTTTGGGGTTCACGGCTCCCGCACACCATTCCTGGACTCGAAGCTATATAAGGCTTTGCGACTTTAGGCTTATAAGGTCTTATAGGCTCCAGTGCCTGCAAAATGCCTGAAGCCACAGTACAAGAAGAGCCTTTTCATTCTCCAACCCGCAGGGAGAGATTGATGACTCTTTTCTGAAGGGCTGGAGGTGCGAGGATCCACGGTTTAGAGATGGCTTCGTGAGTTGTGTCTCAGAGAGGGTACACTGAAGGTAAGAGCAAGGCACCCGGCTGGCCACGGCCAGGAAGCCTGCATCAACCGCCAGCTAGTTCGGACATGCTGTCTTTGGTGTGCGTGTGTGTGTGTGTCGGATGAAGCCGGGATCAACATGACTGGTCTTGGATCCAATATGTTCGGAGTATGCATATAGTGTACAATTCCAGAACTGTGGCAGGGTTTTTGATATAGGTAAAGCTAGCCGGTACAGCATCAGCCCAAACAAAGAATGAGGCTTGCCTGAAACACTCTGGACCTTTGTTTCTGAGCTGCACCTGAAATCCTCTCGCGCCACTCACGATGTGATATCCTCAACCTGGCAGAAGCGACCGGCTGCCTTCTTTGTGGTGTCTCTTTGTGACACCTCGCATACTAGGCGTCAGCGAAGTGCCTCAGCTACATGCACAACAGGCTTCCGACCACCGCTGGACATAGCTAGAAATTGCTTGCCGACGGTCAGTTGATGGGTGCACGCCCTCCCTTCCGCAACTTCTGCTACGACCATCTGACTCCAAGTGCGACACCATGGTCATAAGCGACCAGCCCGCACCCGCTTAGCCCCGACTGCTTACCATGTTTCAGCTTCAGCCACCATACAAAGCGGACCCGGATCTAAACCCCAGTATGTAGGATCTTACTTACGTCCATCAGAGTCCGTCATCCTGTTTGTGAAGGCTCCGGATCTTTCAATGTCTTTCATGTGCAAGACGGCGGCAAGAAGGCGCGCTCGTCTCGTTGTGCCAACCACGACCTCCGGACACGAGATAGACTTAAGGACTTAAGGAAAGCTTTTGGGCATGTTCAGCCAATGCTGTATTATACAGGAGGGATTTGATTTGAGGTTACATGTCGAGACTTGCTGTTACGAATTCTTCATGTCCCCGGATGTGGTGTCGACTCCTAAACTTCGGCGGACCAAGTGAGGAGTACCGTCGCAGCGACGATTCGTGAGGGAACATGCTTTTCGCTAACACAATGAATACGCAAAAGAATCGCAAGACGAAAACATTCCGGCTCTTTACAGAGCGCAGCCACTTGTGTGCTGTGAATTCGCTGCGATATTAGACAAAAGACGCTACTGGCCTAACATGTGTGTTTGTGGTTATGGTGCGCAGTGGTCGCGCGCCATCCACGGACAGTCCCGGCATTGAGCTACCGCTACAACCACTCACTCTGCTTAGGAGTCGTAGTGTGCGACAGCCAAGCCAGGCATATAGTCTCCGCCACTCTTGTTAGGTCTTTCTCGACTGATGCAGAAGGGCTTGAGGAGTCGTTCTCTCAGTTCGCGGAGTCCTGGACCAACTTTGGATGCAGCATCGGCCAAGTTGGTAACCCACGACGGAAGCTGTCCGACTCCAAGAAGTTGGCAAAGCTCATCGCTGAAGTGACAGCAATTCTTGCTGATCACATTGTATTCCCGACCAGGCCAGCTCTTGGCCATCTCGGTAATCAGCATCTGCACTTCCGATGGGGCGAAGTCCGTGTAACCCATGTGAATCGACTCTCGGTAGGAGTGCCGTTGGCATGCTGCCGGTTTGTTTTCAAATATTCCGTGACCCCTCGAAGTCTGCCCGTAGCTCCACTCCTTTCCATGAACTTCCACGGCAGCATGGAAGACACCAGCGCCGAAAGGGCGCAAGACCCCATTGACAGCCTTCATCGGTGCAGTGCCCGTAACATCATAGATATGCACGGTGACTGGTGACGGCGCAGCAGGAGGGGAGCAATAATTGCCCATCTTCACCGCAAGGATGGGCAGATAATGAAACTTCACCGCTGCGGCCTCTGGCCTCGGGCACCAACAACTTGAGCCCCAAGGCTTACCGACCTTGTTGCTGCTTCCATTGCAACTTCGACTCATTCTCCTCAGCTTTACCAACCTCCGGACGCCTTGCAGATGACCCCTAGACTGCGACTCTGAGCCCCGGAGACCTGCGAGGAGCCAGCGCAGGGCCATGCGCGTGGAGATCGCCTCCACAGGAACAGGGCCGGGAGCCCAGAGGTTGGACATCCTGGGCGCAGAGCTTTTGGGGGAACTTCGATCCGCGCTTTTTGGGCCTCTGTTACAACAAACGCTTTTAAGGGGCGTCCTGGGTTTAGGGATTGCGATTATAGGGTTACTGTACTGGTTTCGGATCTACCGTGTCTAGGACAGTTTAGGAGTTTAGGCTTCCGCCCAGCCCATAAACATGCAGCCTCGTAGCTTCAGCGCTGTGCGTGGAAGTGACAGATTCAGCTGACGACCTGGGTCAACTGGTTTGAATGAAACCCTACACCCTAAAACTAAGAACTCTAAACCTTAATCCCTTAAAACAGTGATCTGAATGAAACTCTACTTACACCATGTTTGCAAACTCGTAAACCCTGAACATAAGAACCACTAGACCCGAAAGATAGCAGTCTCTTTGCTCAAACTGGGCTCGAAGTTATTCCAAACGGTTTCGGAGGAAGTAGGTATCGCCTCGGCCCCGCCGAAGCGGTCAGAGTTTTTCACAGGGACTCCCAGTCTCCCCACCTCATATCCTCTGCCAGTGACCTACCTGTCGGCTTAGCGGGGCCACAGATCCCCTCCCCCCCTCCTAAAATTGCTAAAATTGGATTCCGGGTGCCCCCGGGCTCCGGCTTCCCTCGTCTCTTCCTTGCGGCGAGGCAAGCCGGGCTAGCTTACAACATTCGCGAAGTTGATGCCAAAGCCTGGCAATTCTGGTGCTGTGTCTTGTACCTCAGTGCGAAGCTTGAATCCCCTTCCGGCACATGGGAGGGTGTATATGAGACCAGTGAGAAGTGTGATGCGATTGTTATAGTAACGTCTACGGGATAATAATGCCGGGATTGTGCTACCTTTCGAAAAGGATTACTGCTCAGGGCCTCAGCATGAATTCAAATACTGACAGGACATTGAATCAGAATCTGAAGCAAATGAACTCACTCACTCAAGACCTCACCTGTGTGGTCTACCGGTTGCTTTCCGAAAAAATCTCCTGCTTCACGTACAGCCGGGCCGAGGCGGACGACGCGAACCGTTTAAAATTAATGGCCCTGCAGAACTAACTGTGCATGCTGTGAAAAATACGCATCGTATGCGTAGCTGAGGGCACGGTTGTTCTAAGCTGATTCTTGGCCTCCTGTGCACGTGCAAGGCTCGTAGGTTTCTATGTGGCATCCTCTGTAAGGACTGCATCTGCGCGGTCAATTGCTACTACTTGCCCTATAGGCACCGCCGTGGTCACAACCCGTTCTCTTAGCCGTGCCAGAAAGCTTCACGCATGGGCACTTGTGAGTCCGGAGCTGGTCTTTGATGGCTGTGGTAAGGCTGTTACATGTCTGGCTCAAGTATTTCAAGCACACTTGCATCGACGACCTCCCGCGACTTTACCAGAAGCGTGTGCAGCAAGTTTGCCATGGTCTTTGTGAGTTTCTTTGGCGAACTTAACCAGCGCGCAAATGCCTTGCTGCCGGTGTAAGGTGCGGGGTGCCACACGCATTGAGCACATCTGCTCGGATCTACTACAGTACATGCTGCATCTCATATTTAGGAGATAAGGGCCGATGCCTGCTGGCGAATCGATTACCTGAACAGCTGATTCCGGCTGCCTCACGAGAGCAAAGGACTGCGACTTGTCCCATGCCGACTTTGCCAGCGGTGAAAGTCTTCTGAAACGCAAAACTATAGTCAGGAAGCAGTCTGAAATGTCATGCCCGACCCCTCCACCAAGGTCTTCACTCCGACCTCAACGAAATTTCCACGACATAATTCAGAGACTCAACCCAATCCTCCCCCCCAGCCAGTTCAAGCTACAAGTGGGTGGCGAGGGGTTGAGGAGGCAAACGGCCTGTGGGAGGTGTGTTTTTTGGGCTGTAGCTGTGGCTTTCGTTCCTGTGTCATGTTGCAGCGACATGTGACAACCCTAAACCCAAAACACCAAGGTCTCTAAGCCCTGGCATAAACTTATTCACTGAGTCTCGCCTGCGGACGGAAACCCTAAACCGTCCACAATTCCAAACAAAAAGCATCCAAAGGCTTTTTAAACACTCCTTCTACACAAAAGCGACGCAAGCCCAAGCTTTGAGCACTCAACCCTGAACCCCTAACCAGCAAACACAACCCTAAAGTGTAACGAGACCCTAAGCCCCAGAACTCTAAACATCTCTAAACCCTAAGCCCTGAACCCCCCCAAGCCCTAAACCCCTAGACCTTAAAACGCAACCCGGAACTTGAACTGTCGACCCAAAGATCCGACTGAATGTCTGAGCATATGACTATAAACCAAACCATAAACTATGAACCCTAAATACCTAAAGCCTCAGCCATAAACCAACTATAAACTCTAAAGGATAAACCCTAAACCCTAAACTATAAGCCTATATTAGCCTTAAATGCCTAAACTATCTTAACCCTATAAACCCTAAACTATCTTAACCCTAGACCCTAAACTATATAAGCCCTAAATGCCTAAACCACAAGCCCCCCCTGAGTCGGAGCCGAGGGTCCCAAGTTGGATGCCGGCGGCCTCGGGAAAGGAATCGGCGCCCAGGGCCGCCCCATGAGGCCTCAAAGCGATGGCCTAGCCTTCGTCCGTCGCTCTGGTTTAGGGTTTCGGGGTTTGTAGTTCAGGCAAACAGTTTAGGGTGTAGGGTTCAGGGTTTATAGTTTAGGCAAGCAGTTTGGCTTTAGGCTTCAGGGTTTGTAGTTTAGGCAAACAGTTTGGGGGGAAGGGTTCAGGGTTTATGGTTTAGGCAAGCAGTTTAGGGTTTGTAGTTTACACTCTCACAGCTCGGGCAAGCCAGGCGATGATCCATACGTGCAGGTCGGCGTGATACGACACAGGAGCCACTCATGCCCATAGTTTAGGGTTTAGGTCTCAGGGATTTTCGGCTTTTGGCCACATGAGTCGAGGCTTGGAGCTCTCCGAGACTCTACGGGTTTGTAAGACGTATGAGCAAGAATATTCCAGTGGTTTGGGCTCTGCGACCAATATGGAGGAAGGTTTGTGAATACCCGAACGAAAAATGGCAAATCTGATAGTGTTCGACTTGCATGAAACGCATGCTGTCTAGAAGAAGCTTTGGTTGCATGTACGCACTGGCCATGCAACACCCGGTCTGGTTTTATGGCCGTCGCACGTTTTCCTCGTGCGTATTGCTTGGAGTTGCGCAAGATTTAGCACATCGTCAACCGGATTGTTGTCACGCACATAATGATGTAAGTAACGGGCATTGGGTTGTGTGGCATATATTGCCTCAATTTTGGTACGGAGTATCGTGCTGCGTGGTGTGCGAAGCCAGATGCGAAAGTGCGGGGAGAAACCCAAAGGCCCAAAGGCAAAGATCATGGGTTGGCTTCTCTCTCTCTCCCACACCAACTCTCACATGGACTCGAGTCGAGCATGCCGCGATGAAGTCATGTCGTTATTCGACGTGACGAACCTCCCAAGCCTAAAGATTCTGCACACGATAAACCCAGGAAGGTGGAACTTGCTCAAACAAAAGAATTGGGAGCTGCGAGAACACCTTGCCCCGCATCGACGCCAACAAAGGCGGCAAGAAGGATGCATCAGAAGCAGCATGAAGCATCATTGCAAATGGCACATTACGAGCAGAGGCAGGTATGGGTTGGCTGCTCCTCTCAAAAAAGCGCATCTGTGTAGTCTCAAATTCTCGGAAAATGCCGTAAGTTAGCCCAGGAACAGCAGGACACCATAAGCAAAGAGGGCGATGCTCCTGGACCGCTCGAGCACGCAGACACAGCCGTAATAAGGTCCTCGGATCGGAGCTAATATAGGGGCCTTAGCAGTTAAAATAGGGTTTTTGGGGCGCATGATACTACTTATAAGGAACCCCCAAAATAGCATGGGTATTTATTTGGGCCCCCTATATTGAAGGCTTCTCTTTGGCTTCCTGGCTTTACGGTTTGACTAATCCGCTCCCGGTCCCCCATGAAACGTCAAGAGTAGGGATTGCACTGAAAACAGGTTCTTCGAAATGTGGAATTACATGCTAAGCCGTAGAGATCAATCCATGACTATGGAAAGCTATCTCCTATTCGACACTGCAATAGACAACAGAAACCTTGAATTCTCAATCTTGTTGTAGTGAGAAAGGAAGGATCGACTCCAAGCCCTACACCCCGACATCTTATCCGCGAGCCCTGAAATGCCCTGAACCCTTGGCCCTAAGCCTAGCAAAACGCTTGAAACAAAAACCACAAACCTTTACCAGACCTGTATGGAATTCGGAAAGTAACCCTTCCTCCGAGCTTCCTCCCCTAGGCTTCCGCAGGGATGAAGGCCAACCACCAAATCATCCGGCTCAAGGAGATCATGGAGTGCCCCTCAGGGCTCAGGGATTCAGGTCAACTTAGTTTAGGGCCTATGGGGCTTGGGCTTTAGGGACATTAGGGTTTATAAGGCTTTAGGGCTTTGGAACTGAAGAGTTTACAGGAGCTGTTCAGGCTTTTTAGGCTTTGGGGGGGGAGACTCTCGGAGCGCAGGGTGAATGGAATCTAGGGTTATACCTCTAGTCTCCATTGTAGCCGTCGGTTGCAGAATCAAGAATGAGCTGCGGCGTTGAAGACACCGAAGAATAAACGTGAGGCAGTTCTCTTGCTCTTGCGCAGACATTGAATGCCGAGCTGCCAGGAGCTTGAATGTCACAAACTGCGAAGGACACCTGCAGTTCTGGGGGCTGTGTTGCAAGTTGCGGCTAGTTTCACTCCAATATTCGGAGCTTGTAGTTAGTTTCCGCGCAGTGTGGTATTCTCAAAGAGCTACCTCTCTCATGACAGTGCGAGTTCTTGAAGCACGACACTCGGAAAGGTGCGGCAAAGCCACAAAGACTATCCGTCATTTGTACTGAATATCTATATCTATATCTGTACAACAAAAACAAAAATACGATAAATTCAAAAATAAGTATATATATATATATATATATTTGTATACATAGAAAATTGTGTGTGTGTGCTAAAAATTTGCTATAGCCAGTCAAAGCTATGTTGTAATCTTATCATACAGTTTGGATTTACCTTCTCGCGACTCGGAACCGGCTACCTTAAAGTCTTTTCGGCAAACATGCCTACACCGAGCAATACTGATGCAGCCAGGGCTTTACTTTTTAATGCAAGCGCAAAGGTTGCAATAACAAAAACCCAACGCGTTATCATGCAACAGCAGTGGCGAGAGTGGAAAACACCACCCACCCTTTCAGGTGAAACGCAAAGAACAAAACATCCCAAGACGGTAACCCCCAGATTCTTTAAAACCCAGGCTCGATCCACGCTGATGCAGGACGGCCTCAGGCCCGTGTCCCGCAGCCGTCGCGAGGCGTTGGGCAGTCTCCACCTTCTCTGGGTCCCGGTCCAAGCCTTCGTGTAAACAAAAGCGATGAATAGAACGGCCCTTACTACTATATCCAGGGACTAACTGTCAGACTGCTGTCAGATCGAAAGAAGCAGTTGATACTGATGCAGAGCCTTGGCTGAAGGGCTTCATGTTTGCTGGAAGCTTTGCCTGAGTCACCGGTATCAGGGTTGAGAGTTTTTCGTGGCCAACTGGGACATTCTTTGCGGCGGCTTGGTAGAACAAGCCCCGGCAAGAACGCCCCGCGATTGCTTGGAAGGCTGGGACTCGATGTTGGGAGTGTCAGAATACGTGTGTCCTAGGACAGAAGCCTCATTGACTGGGCTTCCCTATGTACGCTGCATAGGGGACGTGTAATAGTAATTAGAACATTGTTTTGCATAATATGATGGCATCTCAAAAACATCCAAAATCTTGAGGGCCCCTATGTTTCAAACTTTACGAACAAGCAACAGCAAGAGCTCCAAACCTTGAAACTTCTTCGATTCCTGACTCGCGCAGACTGATGGAAAATGCCGCCAATGGAGCCCAGACAAGGCAAGCCCAGACTTTGCTGAAGCTGCCGTGTCCTTAGACATCGTCGTACGAGCGACAGGTGGGAATGATGGTTCGAGGTTCCGTGCTCCTTCGATTCAAACCAAGGGCTTCGACAAAAGCATCTGTATTTGGGGATTTCCGAAAATAGAGGACCCTAATATAGTACCCTAAATAATAGGATCCTTATTATAAGGACCCCAAAATAAGGTACCCCCCTATTTTTGGAAAGTCCCATTTGGTTTCGGGTCTGTCGAGGCCTTTCACCTTTGTGCGGAAGCAAAGTGTCAGTTGACATCCGACAGAAAGACAAACAAGCAGAAAGGCAGACGTGCATGTAGTGTGCCGTGCAGTATTGTGTCTTCCTACAAAAAAATCGACCCCAAACACCTGAAGCCTGGCCCTAAGAGTAATAACTACACCCTAAACACTAATATTTGAACCGTTTTGCTGAAACTTAAACCCTACAGCCAGAACAGCTGAAGCCCGGAGGAGAACCGGCCCGTGAGCCAAGACGCAAAGCGCCGAGCCCTGCGCCGACATCGAGGATCCGCCGGCTGCCGCGCAGAGAAGCAGAAGTGCCTGATTAGTTTACAGAAGGTTTGGGGTTTAGGGTTTGAGGGTCTAGGGTTTGAGCGTTTAGGGTTTGAGGGTTTAGGGTGGATGTTCAAGGTCTAGAAAAGTCAGGAAAAAGTGGCTTCCTGCGCGGCAGCCAAGCGACTTTTTCGTTGGGAAATACCAAGTAACCCAAACTTGCCCGAACCCATGCTTGCAAGTTACTGCTGCATTCTACAATGCCTCTCGGTGATCAGGAATCTGACAGGAAGGCAGGTTCAGGGTTGAAAACCGTAAGCGACATGCATGGGACTTGAGGGCAATGCACATACCACGGCGACCCAGCGTCATGCCTAACAGCTTCGAATAATTAGGGAAACACGGCGGAGATTCCGAGTAGCTTGTGTGGTGCCGCTACCCTCGGATCCATGTCAAGCAAAGCTTCGGGCCACCCGGACGAAGGACTCCACCTTCCAGGAGGCACGGTGCCCAACGTTGAAAGAGAAAGGTAGGCTGCATGATCTCTCGTAGTGGTTCATAGACAGCTCCGAGGTCAAGCAACAGCCTTTGAAGACTCAACAAAAGAGGCTTTCTCGATGACAGGACAAAGACACGCTCACAAACTCTACACCCGAAATGCATAATCCTTTCTGAACCATTCCTCAACCCTAAGCCCGTGTTTGCTCTTTCTCCGCAACCTCGTCATCCCACGCATGGGTCGAGAGGGTGATACCGCGTGAGGGAAACTCCGAAGCTGGAGAGTCTTCTTTGCTTCCACTGAGGCTGAACACATTGCTCTCAACCCTGTAACACGTGAAACTCGTGATTACTTGATTGTGCTCATATAAAGATATGCTGGTCTACATATCTATATATATATATATATGCACAGACGATCATACACTTGTACCTATATTTAAGATATACTATGCGCAGATGGCCGAAAGGCTGTCACGTGTTCGGAGTTTGAGGAAGCTTCCATGTCAGGTCGTCATGTGACATCTCAGTCGGCTCCTCTGGGACGACCGTAGTGAATGAAACCTGCCGGCAAAGGGAGGAAGCCTAGGGGCCTCAGGGGGCCCCTAAACCCGAAACATCTTTGCAACGGCCTTGAACCCTAAACCCTAAACCCTTTTCCTTAAACCCTAAACCCTAACCCTAAACTAAACCCCTGTAGAGAGCTCAACTATAGACGAAACCCGAAGAGCCAGCTCAACCAATGGCTATCCTTTTGCAACCATTATACAAGTCTAGTCACGCTTTGTGCTATTACATGGCAAGCTATGCCATCATGCTAAAACAAACAAAAGAACGGAGGAAACACTACGGCTATGTTCTTAAGTCATTAATATAGGGGCCTGAATCATCAAAACAGTGTTTTGGGGCCCATTATACTATACTTACAATAAGAAACCCCCAAAAAAGTAAGAAACGTACTAGTATTGGTAATTATTGTAACATGACACCACCGCATCCAAAGCCCCTCAGTCACCTCAGTCCTGGGGCCACCCTCGCAGTCCTCGGCTTTGCCTCCGCGGGAAATGGACTTTTTGGATCAGGGGGGGGGCGGGCGGGGGGGGGTCAATATCACTATAGTCATTAGTGTCACTAGTATACTACTAGAGGCACGAGTATACTACTATGGTCACTGCTGCTATTGATTGGAACTCTCTGTTGTTCAATACTGCTATATTGCTACTGCTACTGCTCGCTTCTGATCTGGCACGTAGGGTTTCGGGCAAGTCCAGTGTCGTGAGCGACTGCTTGGCTTTGTCAGAAGAGCTACGGCAAAAAGGGGCTCCTCGGGTTTACGGTCTTGAAATACGGACATGGGCTTGAACTGCCCCCCAGTGTAGCGCGAATGCGAACCTCGTGGGGGTCTTCGGGTCTATGGTTTGGGTGCTTAGAGTCTTGGGGTCTTGGGCAACAACAACAACCACAACAACTCCACACTGCTCTCAAACTCATGGGCGTAGCCAACCGTCCCAAGAGCTCAAACCACCCTTGAATTTCTCTCGTTCCTGCCGCTGCATCTAAACCCTCTTCAATCTCACATCCCATCACCTAACCTAACCTATAAACCCTAAACCCTAAATCCTACATCTGAAACTTGCAAGGCAAGTGGCCGAAGAGCTCCATGGTACGGCTGCGTAAGGCCAGGGTTCTCTTCTTAATGCTCAGGAGCTCCACCTCACAGCTCGAAGAGATTTTTCCCTCTTAGGAGCCCTATAGGGTTAGGGCTCAGGGTTTAGGGCGCAATTCAAAGAGATCAGAGCTTCGGATTTCGGGCATTTGCAGGGGGTGGTCATTCGAAGACTCAGGGTTTCGGGTTCAGGTTTTGGGGAGTCCCAGGCCCCTTTATACTTTGAGACTGAGCTTTAAGGCACAAGGTGGGCCAGGCCTGGAGCTTGGGGCTGGGAAGAACCAGATGGACGCGATCGGGCTTGACATGCAACTTAGACTTAGAAGCTTACATGGGTTTATGTCGGGTGTCGACTCTCGAGTTGTGCGTGTTATCCTTGCGCAGGGGCCATGCTAATCTTCTGCATCGTTCCAGTTTTATCGGAGGGGCAGCCTCCTCCGGGTAGCTGACAAGATGGGAAGACTGAAATCTAAAGCTGGATCTGAAAACTGTCTATATACATATACATATATATATATATACAATATACATATACTATCTTTCCGTGTGGCTACCTTTCTATACACACACCTGTGCCTGCAGGAACCTGCAGATAAAAATATCTGCATACCAGATAACATATCATATCATATCACATATATATATATATATATATATCATGTCATATATGTATATATAATATATATATATATATATATATATATATTAATTTATTTATCTATTTATTTCATATCACACACACATATATATATATATA